CTATCATGTCCCTGAGTACATTCAGATATATTTTTGTCCTTACCTGTCTAACTGTATCTCCTCTGCCTCTATCACGTCCCTGAGTACATTCAGAGGGTCTTCACCGCCAGTGTAGCCTGGACCCCAACGCAGGACTCGAGCTAAATCATTACCTAGAAACATTAAAGGGAATGGCATAAATAAAACTTATTCTCAATAATCTGTATAAAATATAATGACATGTATTTTGAAAAAAGAGTATTTTGAAGAAAGAGTTCTGATTATGAAGAGTAATGTTTAAGTTACGGCATATATCTATTGGTTTTCAACAATTTGTTCTCCTGCTTCTATATGATATTCTTTTTTTTTTCTCTGCTGGCAATCCAGTGGAGCTCTGTGGATTGCCCACATTGTGACAATGTCACACCTAACACAATTCAGCCGCAAATTGCTCTAGTCGGTGCTGCCCCCTACCTGTGCCCAGTGGAACTATCCCCATGGGAGGTGACTGGCATACAGCATCTTGGCCCACATTGTCAAGACAGGACAGCACCCATCCCACGGTGCCGTCACCGCCACACACCAGAATCTTGTAGTACGGGATGTTACGGAACACATACAACCTGGAGAAAGGTATACTTTTTTGTAAAGATTCAAAAAAATTCTTATACAGCTTGTTTCACACTTAAGTACTGAATGTTTCGGACTACATAGAATCTGAGGAAGGTACTAGTAATTATTCTGGTGACCACCAAAATCTCTACAAAATTTCTTTGTAAATATTTAAAATTTCATACATAACTCTTCGGTAAAATTTCATTACATAATACAACCTCAAATTATTTTTCTGGTTTTACCTTACTAATTGCTTGTGTTTTTCCCCAAAGCAAATTTGCAAATATCAATATAATAATAATAATAATAATAATAAAATTTTAAAATAATTAGGGCACAGGGAATTCCAAGCTATCATTTCAGGTAACTCTCACCCTGGTAGAGGTCCACCATATTCTAAATTGAACACTTGGTGTGGATTGAGTAGCTTCCTGAAGGAACGGATCAGTTCCAGACCCTGACAGCCCCCACTCTTTACATTCACAAACACCAATAAAGGAATGACATTCTCTGGGATCATATGAGGCTGGAAAGAAAAATTTTTAAAATAAAAATTCAAAATAGAATATTTTAAGTTATATTTAAGATTCATACTATTAATTTTATAGAAACTTTTAAATTCACAAATGCCAAAACAAAGGAGGGGGGGTGATGGACTATTCTGGAATCATCTGAGGGTAGGACAATCAAATGTTAGGGGGTAAAGAAGAAAAAAAAAACCCTTAAACATTCACCTTACTAAATTAAGAGAACACTCACTCATAATGCCTCTGCTTTAAGCTACATTATTAAGGCTGGTGAACCAATGGGAAAAATTGTTACAAGACTTTATAGAACTACTACAGGAATTAAAGACTAACTGTTTCTAAAACATCAATACAAAGAGTGCCTAATTTATACAGCTGTTCTTTATCAGAGATTTTTAGGCAGACTTACCTGTATATTGGGCAGTATTTTCAGGCAGACTCACCTGTATATTGGGCAGTAGAAGAACTAGGAGCTGTTTTTCATCAAAGATTGCATTTTTAAGCAGACTGAAAGCACTGGTAGCTTCCTCAGTAGAATTATATGTCAGCACCACTGACCCATACTCATAATAGATCACATCTATATCTGTCCAACGATTTCCTGGAAAAGACGGTTTACACATCTGAGACAGCCTCGTTTCCTAGAGTAGACACTTAAAACATTGAACAAGATTGTACTTCCCAGAAATAATTGAATTTCCTAGAATAGCTATTTGAAACACTGAAGAAGCTTCAAAATCAAGTTCATATCTAAAAAAAAAAATGGTATTTCCCAGAAAAGGTTGTATTTTTAGAATATATGATTAAAACATATAAAAAATTGTTTATCTAAAAAAAGATATCAAAACATTTATCAAGAAGGTATTTCCAGGAATACATCTTCAAAACACATAAATAGACAAGTGACATTTTCTGGAAATGATTTATTGATATTTGAAACAATCAAGATACATTTCCGCGGAAAAAAATATTAGTCAAACGTCTGCAGATGCCTTCTTTCACAGGAGTCAATTCGGGTAAAATTTTAAGTATGCAATAGCTGAAAAAGGTTTGAAAAAAAATACAAAAACTTTAAAAAACATACTAAATGAAAGTTGATTCGTGCAGTGGTGTTACTCATAATGATGAAATTTAAAACTGTTTAATTTTTACACAATAAGCTGATGAAGTCCCAAGTATTGGGAAGAAGGCTTTCCAGGTATCCTTTCAGCTTATTGCGAAAAAAAAAAAAAAGTGATCCGTTTTAGATTTCATCATTATGAATTACAATGAATAAATAAATATACACACACACACACACACACATTTATATCTTACCTTTCCCCAGATTATCGATTAGAATCTTCTCATACTGTTTTTGCGACAAACCGCTGGGTAAATTCCCCACAAACAGGGCCACAGTGGGGCCATGGGGATCCTCCTGCTGTTGGATATAGAATCGCGTCATGCGGTTCTGACGCAGCGACTCCTTCCTGGTTTGCTGTATAATCTGCCATGGCCTCTCTTTGGCCTCCATCCTCCTCTCCGCCACCCCTCTGTCCAGCAGCACCTCGATGAGTTCATAATGCTCCGGGTCCGTCATCTGGAAATACAAAGTAATGAAGAGTACTGATAATGAAATTTTTATGTTTCTGAAAAAAAAATGTACTTTTTGGTTATCACACCTGCAACACCAGTTCCATTTTCTAAGTGAACATATTATTATAATTTTTATTACAATGTACTAACAGTTCCAGTTTCTAAGTGAACATATAATTATAAATTTTATTACAATGTACTAGCAGTTCCAGTTTCTAAGTGAACATATTATTATAAATTTTATTACAATGTACTAGCAGTTCCAGTTTCTAAGTGAACATATTATTATAATTTTTATTACAATGTACTAGCAGTTCCAGTTTCTCACCTCCACTCCAAACTTCCCCAGTGCCATCTGGATCACCTCCACAGCAGTGGTCTCCTTGGTGACAGGGATATTCTTGGGACCCATATTATTCCTATGGACACAAAAACGGTGCATTGTTTACATATCTTTTTGAGAAAACACCTCAATCACAAAGGACTATTACTACTATGAATGACACATACATACACGTACATAAATTTGCATACAAGCACGCAAGCACATACAAGCAGACATGCACACACACACACTCATCACACAAAAACCCACACTTGCATATAAGCACACATGCGCGCACACATACACGCACACACACACGCACGTACACACACACCCACACACACACCTTAGACCTCCAGGATACACTCTAATATAGCCCTGGTCTGGGTCTCTCTCCTTATACCGCAGGAAAATGGACGGTCGTTTGCCTTCGGTGCGAAGTTGACGACCAAGCAGAGGTTCCACCTCGTCCAATTCGCGCTCCTCATTCTCTGCAAGAAAAAAACCTGCAACATGAAGGTGCAGTGTTAGACGGCTGTGATAAGAGAGAAAGCGTCGGTTACATTTGAGATATAAAGCCATGGAAATAAATAATGTTAAATAAGTGAAGAAACTATTACAGATGTAAATGAGAAAGAAGACACACAAAGCATAATAATAGTCCTCCTTTTAGTCAAATGCAAGTGTAATTAAAGACACATTTTAGTGTTGTAAGTATAAGAAAATAACAGAATCTGAAATGCTAAAAACAGAAAGATAAATTCAAGAAAGTCAACGTTATGTTATCATGAGCTATTAGATAAACAGATCCACAAAAGTTACCAGTCTTTTAGTTGGGGCCAATTCAAGGTCATTTGTGCCACTATATTTTCTGTGCTCTGATCAAAATTCAATTTTTACCTTTTTCCACAGCCTCTGCTATGTAATAATTCTGTGGATCATCTGATATGTGGAATGTTCTTAAAGCAGCTTCCTGGAAAACAAAATAACACATTGAATGGCTTTATGTTAAAGAGCAGAAATCTGAGATATACTTATGAAGGTGGCCTTCAGTTTTCGGCTTCCTTTGCAGGTTGGAGTGATGCCAACAGATGCTGACTGCTGGTCCTGATGGCAATGAATTTGCCTCATTTAACACTCAATCTGTCCTAGAATATAATGTTTTTCTCCTGTAACGAAAAATGTTCTTAATCTGATCTATGACATTCTGAAAGGACTTCCTAAAAACAGTCCTCGAACTGTTACATTCATTACAGAACAACATTAG